TTAAATTTGAATTCAATATATTCTGAGCGGAGACGGTCTATCAACCGAAGATATTACCTATATATTATACTTATAGGTACTAGTGTCTATAAAAAACAAAGTGTTTATGAACTTCTTAGATTTTTATTTTTCAGAATCTATCASTTATATCGAAACTTGTATTAAATTCTTAAGCCTCGTTTAAAATTTAGCATTGTAAAAATTTACAACTACAAGATAATTTTCTAATTTTCGTGATGTTGACGAGTTTTGTCAAAGTTTGAACTTCTAATGCTTATAATAAAAAATCATTGTATTGTGTATACTCGTATATCTTCAATAAGAACTCATAAGGAAACTTGTATTAAAATTTCAAGTTTATCGACAGAGCGATGAATGTAAGATTTTTATATAAAAAAAAGCTAAATGAAAATATAGTATTCCATGTTACAATAAATAGCTTACTTTTAAACCTATACTTGCCTATACTCATAAACTAAAAAAAGGCAGAAGAAATGCTTATATCTCCACAATGTGCATTCTGTAAGAAATAAAAAAAATCTCGAAAATTCAAAAATATGACCTTTAAGCATATTTCAAAAATAAAAAAAACAATAATTGAAGAAGAAAAGGGAGATAGTGTACTTGATGAAATACTTGTTTATAAATAATAGGTAGTTATTTTGCTATTAAAACGTTTATAACTTTAAGTAAAGCGGCAATTATTGTTTAAAATACAATTAATTTAAGTTTATAATTTAAAATGTATTTTAAAACCCTTTCTTGATTTAAGTGCAGACTGTGCAGTACTTCAGTTTGACCATTATTTATTTTTAGTGAAATTTGACCTTACCCATACATTTGTAAATTTCGTTTTGTTATAAAAATATATTTGAAATTGAAATCTTTCCTTACCAAATTCTACTTCAAAATCATTTGTATAAATATTCACTAGCTTGAAGCTTAATGTTTTGTAAGCCGCTCAATTGATTTAATATATTTTGTCAAGTCAGAAATAATTAAAATGTGTCTTATATAAATACATTCAAAAAGTATGCTACTTTTATTTCTTTAGTTAAATAATATTTATAAACTCATTATAAGAATAAATGTTTCATTCTTAATTTTTTCTATAATATTATAAACTATAATTTTACTAACAAGTTCTTCGACAGAAAAAACAAATTTATACGTTTGGTTTTAGTTTTTCCAATCTAATAATATATATCAAAGACACTCATATTATTATACTAAGCTTGATTGGAAAATTTTCAAAACTTGTAACATAAATGTATTATTATTTATATTAAATGTAAGGGAC